GCGTCAATCGATGCAGTTTTTCGTGCTCTTTCCAATGGAACCAACCAGAACATGCGCGAAAGCGTTATAAAATGCACTGAAGTGTTTCAGAGTAGACATGTTGAAATCTTTCCCGAATGGGACAGATTTCGCTTTCTCGATCAGGACATATTTCCCAATTGGGAAATACATCTTTCTTGAACGGGAAATATTTCCAGGTCCGGGCATAACTCTTGCAAACGGACTGACTGTGTCTAAGAAATTAACAATTTTCGTTCTAGTCCAGTTTGAGCCCTTAAAGTAATTTTTTGAAACTTATGCCACGCATTTCAAAAACAACGAAGCTTTAGAAAGGTTGCCCAGAAATCTTCGGAACTAAGAAAATATTTTTTAATAGTTTTACATACAGAATCAGAATAAGCGGATAAAATAGAGTTTTTCCTGACTTTCTGAAGTAGGTTGGATGGATTTTGACTGAGTTATGAGTTTTTTAATTTTTGATGAAAATAATCAAAAGTGGATTATGTTACCTGGTACAGATTTTCACTCGATTCTTGCATTTTGTTCTCAAAACTAACATTGCCGCAAGATTCAGTATAGTCGATAACCTATGTTTTCTTTTATTCCTCACAGTCACAAACCTAACAGCAGAGGAATGCTAAAGCTTCGAGAAAACGTCCACAGTCCCGAATCATGGATTTTTAAGATGTGGCTTAGACACAGTCTAATAGAGGACACTTTGACCTATATATATATCAAAAAAAATTGACCTATTTCTACGTCAGTTTTTCGTAGATTCAAACTGGTTTTTCAAAGCTCCTCTGCAAAAAATCGGCGCCGGAAAAGTTTTCAAATATGAAAGATAATTATTCTTGTTAACGGGTAATAAACCCACAAAAAGAATCTTTTTGTGGAATTTTAATCTGTAATCACGTCTTGATAATGACGACTAAGTCGTCGAAACGTTGACAAATAAATCCTTAAAATGGGAACTCATTGTTTAGCTGCTGTCAAATCAATTATCTTTAAGTATTTTATAAAACATCGTTCTACGAACTTTTGGTCAGCCTTAAGTAATTTCAATTCTAATGTATTGCCTAATTTAACTAAATCTTAAACAAAAAAATAAAGTGTATCAATTGATGTTTTCAATTCTTTAATTAACTTAATATTTTTGATAAATTTATTCATCAAATCATTGGTAAATATCAGTAATTTTTCACTATCAATCTGTTCTTTGGAAAATTCTTTAATAAAAAGAATAATTTTCATTGAATCCCTATTTTCTTTGATTTGACTTTCCCATGCAGAAGATAAAAAATTGTCATTATTTTGATTTTGTTTAAATGAGTGTTCAATAAAATCAAAATGAGTTTTGTAAAGTATCTAAATTCAATCCATAAAATTCAAGTCAATTTTTAATAAATAAATTAACTAATAAATTATTTATTTCTTGATCCCATTCTTGAACATAATTTTGTATTAGGATTTCTTTTAAATTTTTAATTTGAACAGAATTTTTCCATGTATCAAAATCAATTGGATTATTGAATTTTTCTTTATAGATAGTTTTTAAATAACTTTCAAATAAATTCTCTTTGATCGAATCAAAATGATTAATTAAATCCTTTTTTCTCTCCCATGTTTTCTCTTGATTGATTACTTGAAGAGAAAAATTATTTAATATTGAAAATTGTAATTCTAAATCTATTTTCGAATTTTTTCTCTCTTCGACTTGTCATCTTTCTTCGTTGACTGTGCTTGTTTCTAGTGAGGTAATTTATGGTACATTAACAATTTCCAATGTTTTGTCATTTTTCAATAGATTTGAACGAAATTCAATTAATCAATTAAATTTATCTTGACTGACTTGTCGATAACATAAAACAGTTTTGGTCCAATTTAAAATCCAATAAAGATCACGAATTTTCACATCATTTGTTAAGGTATTTTCAACATTTCGATATAATTGAATAAATCCAATACAAGATAATTGATTTTTTCATTATCATCAAAACCTTGCAATAAATAGATTTATTGCAATGTCGCCAGAACCAACGTTCTAGCTCTTCTACTTTTTGAGCTGATTCAAAATTAACGTGTAAAAAAACAGTGTCACGCTTGGACAGCGGATTTTGCTCTTTCTGTTTTCTCTCTTTTCTTTTTGTTAACCAAACAAAAAGTTAATAGAAATAAATAAAGATTTTTTTATAGTGAAAGCATACGGAAGCATGAATAGGTGGCCAACTCACCATGTTATTGAAAGTATGCACGTTTGTAGTTGCATAATCATAATGATTCAGTCATGAAACTTTGCAAAAAACGCAGAAAATCTGCAATAATGATTTGTAAAATAGCGTGTTTACTAACATTTAAGTAACTGCAGACGGTATTCAAATAATAAAGAATATAGTTATATTTTATTAAAATGAAGCTTTTATTATATTTGTATCGTATTCTTTAAGAAAAGAAAAAATGCATTTTACAATAAAAGACGTACACGATAATTGGAAAATAATTACGGTGTGTTTCATTGTCGCTATTGTATTTATTATATTTTGGAAAAGGGAGCCGAATGATAGATGTGTACTAAGCGAAGCTTATCCATCTCATGGTCCAGGATGTAATATAAAATGTTCAAATGGATATGAATATTCAAGTTTAACGTTTTATAATGTAACAACAAATTGGCCAAGTGAGTTAGTGACAAATATGTACAAAGCAACAAATATTTTAGAAAAATATGGAAAACCAGTATCGATCGCCACAAAAAATCAGCACAGCTGGCTTCATGTAACACTGCATTACTATTGTTGCTATTCTAAACAAGAATTAGTTCGTATCGAACAATTTCTTGACAATTATAAATGGACTACACAAGAAATTGTTTTTGATAGAATGATTTGTGCCATAAGCCATGTAGATAAAATATCGATTGTTCTTATGGCTGATGCGAAAAGTCAATATAATTTATTAAAATTAGCAACAGATATAGAAAACGAAATGAAAACTAAAATGAATATTCCTATTCGAATTTCTAGAAGTAAACTACAAAAAATTCATATGACTTTAGGAGTGGTATCTCGAACAACATTTCCTGCATGGACAGCAGTTAAGGTAAGAAATAAAGAAATTCCACCTAATACATGGCACAACCAAACAATTTTTCTCACGAAGCCGCCTATTCGTTGAGGTTGCAAGTCTGGTCTGTGGTCTGACGTTTCAGTGCATCTGCTATAGTGACATTGATGCACTTCAGTAAGAAAAGGTGCGCCATTGGGTGAAATTCTCAAATTCAATCAGAAAACCTAAAATTTTTTATCTGCAAAAGTCAAGTTTTTCTGATGGATAGCGGTTATCGAGTCATTCGCTGAAGGCGCTACTTTACTACTGTATTTTTTCGATGTAATGTGGCGTCCTCAGCGAATATCTCGATAACCGCTATCCATCAGAAAAACTTGACTTTTGCAAATAAAAACTTTTAGATTTTGTGATTGAATTTGAGAATTTCACCCAATGAATTTGTGGCGCACCTTTGCTTATTAAAGTGCATCAATGTCACTATAGCAGATGCACTGGAACGTCAGATCACGGATCATTTCGCGCCATGCTTAATTAACGCGATTTTTAATGAGAGCGTTTGGCGCTGTTTCAAGTCTTTCTAGATTTATTCTACTTTGCTATGACCTATTTATTACATTTTCAGTAATTGCAGCTCATTAAATGTCCTAATTTTGTCGAATTTTACAAATGACTTTCAAACTATAAGGATCACGACTACATAGCTAGTTTCTCTGCACCGGCCCGTCGGCTCAGGTAGGGTGTTCCTATATGTCTGAAAGAAGAACTATATTTCTAGATGAAACTCTCACTTAACCAAGAAAAAATAAATCTTTTTTAAAAAGATTCGAATTATTATTAACTCGAAATTTCCACTAAAAGCGGAATATTTTAGAGTTGATATACTAGAGTGGGAAACTGGGGATACAAGTAAGAGACTTGGTGAATAACAAACAGAAACTGTTACTAGACGTTGTGTAACTTTGATCATACAAGTAGTCGAGTGCTCAGTGCTGCTAGTTCTGGGAATTTCGGAATTTCTAGTAATTCCCAGTAATTCCTAGTAATTCCGGTCGATTCCGTTGTGAAAGAATCCCCGGAATTCCGATTTAGAATTTCTTGTGTGGCTCTAATCATACAAGTAGTAGAATGTTCAGTGATGATAGTTGTAGGAATTCCGGAATTCCTGGTAATTTCTAGTAATTCCGGTCGATTCCGTCGTGAAGGAATTTCCGGAATTCCGGTTCAAAGTTTGTTGTGTAACTTTGATCATACAAGTAGTCGAATGTTCAGTGCTGCTAGCTCAGTGCGTTAGATCTTGTTAGATGTAAAGATTGAACATGTGAATATGTGTGATCTCTATTAGAAGTGCATATGTCAAATATATCACATCAGGAATTTCTTTCTGTATGTTAGCACTTCTCGGCGAATATGATGCACATGTCATCCGTGTATGAAGAACGTGGAAGAGATAATGTAAACATATGCCTAGAAAAGGTAAGGCGCGCGTAATTCAAACTTATCACGGATTCTCGTTTTTGGCCAAAATACGCATACTCTGATAGAAAAAATTGTGCTGATTCCGAATATCTCCTTTTTAGTTTGAAAAAGTTAAACTTTCATGGAGAAAAACTCAAAATACTGAGGTCGAGCCGAAAACCTCAAAATCCGCTCATTTTCAGAAAGCGTGCTCCTGTTTTCTTGCACTGCGACCAAAAATATTTTTGAAGATATTTTCGGATTCTACGCCAAAAACTGATTCTAGAAAACTCTTTCTCAAGGTTTTTCGACTAGATATGAAAATGTGCCCTGTGGTTTTTCAAGCGCGCCTCAAGGATTGAGCTCGCCATCTCAAAAATCCATCAACTCCATAGAACAAAATGCTAGAGATTTCAATCATGCGCGAAAAGATCCGGCTTGAAACGTAGAACAATTCTATGAAGAGTTTTTTTCGATTTTGTTTTTCTGCGGGGAGGAAAAAAATAAAGGATCAAAAAGAGGCAGTTTGAACGAAAATCGGCCAAGTGATTTCTCTCTAGAATTTTAAGATTCCACTCAAATGGACTCAAACTCACACTACAGACGTTATAAACCACGGCGAATCTAATGAGCGCCTTTTCGCGTTTTTCTTCTGTGAATGGGTGCAAAAGTAACTGCTAGTGCACGTCATCTGAATGACTGATTTATAGAGGAAGCGCGAATGAATTTGATTGGTCAGTTAGCCGCCCAGTTTGCCTAAAGGATCAAAAAGAGGCAGTTTGAACGAAAATCGGCCAAGTGATTTCTCTCTAGAATTTTAAGATTCCACTCAGATGGACTCAAACTCACATTACAGACGTTATAAACCATGGCAAATCTAATGAGCGCCAATTTGAGGTGCCTCCGTGGATTTCTATGAGGTCTCTGGAAATCTAACCTTAAAAACCCATGTGATAAACCATTCTCAGCCAAGGTTTGCATTGTTTTGCCATTTATTAACTTTCCTGATGAACGTTTCTGTCAAAGCTCTATTAAAAAAATAAAGCAATATGGAAAAGCTCTTTGAAAATATCTGTTCTAAAGCTCAAGATCTCAAAAAGCCTGTTCCAAAAATACTAATTCACGTTCAAGTTAGAGTTCGTAATCTTTCGATGAGAAATTATATTGTCTTTTGATAGATTACTAAAGAACATACATAACACGTCTTTGTAACTTTGGCCTTGGTCGTATGCACGTAAAGTTCGCCAAAATCTGCGATGCAATTCACGATCAATCTTTTTATCTTCAAAATTCTTCCGTGCTTCGCCGACTAACTGCACCATTTTCGGAAACGACTGCTCACCATACTTCCGACAGTCTAAAACACACGGATAAGATATGCATCAGAGTCACACAGTTGCAGCACGCGAAAGGCATGAATAGCTTCAGTTATTGACTAACACGCTTTCATACTGCACCACAGGCCTTCAATACTTGACATCTCGCAGTGGTATTTTGGCAAAAACAATACACGCACACCGTAACGATTTCCTAACTTCTCCAACTTGCTGCTGACCTATAAGTAGCAAAAATTTAAATCCAAAGGCCGAAATTTAGCAAAACGCCACGAGGAACTAACAGTTTGAACGGCTGGATGTTTTCCCAACTCTTTTCTTAGCTCGTCGACCGTCATCTTTTTCGACACTTTCAATCCGAGTTCTTTTCCGAGAACTACCATTCCCTTACTTTCTCCACTTACTCTTCCCATCTTTTTTTGAATGTGTGGTGGCGTTGTCCACTATAATTTCAATCTGGTGACCTTTGTATTCATTCTTAAATTCCAAAAGCTGAAATAGTCTGGTAAACTGTGATAAAATGGTATTGTTATCAAAGTAACAGTCGGTCCCGATCGCAATAGAGGCAGTGGCAGAGTTACTTTCATAGTCGACATCATCGTCATTGTCGAGCTCCGG